TGACATATCGCATATTGGTCCTAGCAAGTCGAGTGAGCTGAGTAAATGGAGGGATGGGAAAACGCACCTGGAAACGTCTCTCTCCCGGTCCGTTTATCAATGCCTCCGCCCCCGCAATAACCTGCTTCCCATCGAGACGCATCACGCCGGCTCCCGTACTATTAGAGCGCCCAAACAGCCCGCGAAGAAAGCCGCCGCCCGTCAAACGTGCGTTCCCTCTCCCAGCATCCGCAGCCGCGACCGCACCGGCGGCGCCCTGCCGCAGCCGCTGGGACGGATCAGCTGGCACAGACGCCCCGCAGAGCTCCGCGAGCGCGGGCGACATTTGAATCGGCGGCAGCGCCCCGTCGGCCATGTTCCCCTGCAGGCCGAGTGCAAGCCCCTTCTCCGTCATGAGCAGCCCGGTCACATTGGTCTGTCCACCGATGAAGTACACGATGGTGCCAGAGGCATCGTGCACGGGAATGATGCACAGGAGCTGTCGGGAGAGGTCAGCGACCAGTGGTTTGCAAGACAACACTTACGCAATAGAACGGCTCGCCATCGCGTCCTACGGAATTGACCGTCAACGATATAAACACCAATTTTGATCCAAATAGATACGTACGATAATTCAAGACTCGGAGTAGCTCTGTGCACCCTATTTGCGCGCCGTGAATCTCTAGGTCTCCGCGAGATATACAAGAAAGCTCACCTTTCCCAGAGTTCAGACCATCCCGGATACGCTGCACACTCGCCTGCGGCGTCCCGGGGCCCTGCAAAAATCCTTTATAAAACAACCCGAAAATCAACTCGAGTACTGGGTCATTGGAGAGAAAGCCGACGCACGACAGTTCCTCCCAATAATCTGCGACCTCAGGTACCCCGTCACCGCAACGAACCCGTCCGACGCGAGCACAGTCGGGTGGTCCGGCAGGCGCGGGTTCGTGTGCGCGAATGTGTCGCCGAGCCCCGCACATGTTCACGCATGTGGCATTTCTGCGTCTCTCGAGTTTGTCTGCCCCGGAACCTACAAGAGGCTTTCTTTTAGTCTGCGAAAAGATGGCATTCCGTGTTCAGTTCCGGCAGTTCAGTCTCGCAGTCATTTGTTCATGCCAATCAGATGAGTTGGACACATGATGCACTGACACCGTCGTTAACGTTCCTCAGTGCGTGCTGTGTATCAATCCAATGAAAACCATAAACTGAGGCCACCTCTGATGCGACGCAATGTGTCGCCTGAGGTCGCCGGCATCAGGAAAACTAGGTGATGTACATATGGCTATAGATGGGGTTCGACGACATGTCATCAGCTGCGCAACGTCGAAGGGTCCCGCAGCCCGTGGGAATAGTTTCGTTAACCAGTACTTGAGTAGTAAGCACTGTAGAGTGGCAATAATTTGCGTTGAGACACCTTGTGCGGCCTGAACTCTTTACGGTCGCAGAACATCATATTCATATCGAGGAAACAATCAATTACAAACCATCTACTTGGGACCTCTATTTTCGAGTCCCTCATTTGACACTCAAATAGTGATATTGGGCCCGAGGACGAGGTCTTCGCATTCCTGGGTGGCAGTCCAATTTGAGAGAGTGGACATGATATCGGCTATTGTGCCCAGCGTTGCGACAGTGATGGTCACGTTCGGGCGCCTCCAGCCCTCCGCAATGGGCAGGCGCTCTTCGCGGAAGAAAATCTGCACAAAGCTGCGTCACACAACACATCAGTCAGTCCTGTCGCCAAACACTGAGAACTAGCGCACTTCTTCGGCGCGACGCCGGTGAGCGGGTCGCCCATGACGCTGAGGTAGAACCCCGACTCGCGCGTGCGGATTTCGATCTCCTTGAGCGTGTTGGTGATATTGGGGTTCGTCGCGAGGGAGATGGCGAGCCGCTGGTTCTGCACCAAGCTTGCGGACGATGCGTTGTAGTAGTCCACGCCTGGGTTCGAGTTCGCGAGCGTACTGAAGATGGTCTCGTTGAAGTGAAGATTGTCACCGAGTGCAAAGTCGCCGCGCGAGAGCGACGCGTCGTGCTCGATGAGGCTGTGCCTGTGGTGCAGATGTTTAGTTCATACACATTTTGACGGCTCAAGGACTGACAGCGCGAGGGCGTCGAGGTCTAGTGTCGTGGGCGCATCACCAGAGAGGAGGCCAAACTTTGCTGCTTGGATGATTGAGTCAGGCCCGAGATTGAAGCCCTCTGTCGGGGAAGACTCGTCAGCTCTACTCGCCAAATGCGCGGACATACAGACCCAGTGCCGCGTCCAGCATCATTGGGATAGAGATGTTCTTCCCGTTTCTGGGGAGGTACCCGTGGTTCGCAAGGCTGCCAGACTATCAGCCGCGCTCCGTGGCAATAATGGACCACTCACGTATTGAGACCTGGGCAGGGTGAGCGTACGTCCGTGGCCGAGGGGGCCCTCCATTCATGATCGTCTTGATGGCCAGGGCTTCCATACGCCAAGTTCGCGGCGGCGAGGATAAGAGAAGCTTTGAGGACTCGGTGCATCTTGTGTCTGTGGGTTTTCTGGGTGCCGAATTCATCCTCCTTTATACAGCCACTACAAGTTGGTTACCAACCTTTTACTTTTTTGACAGGGCCCACAGCATATTTGGCGTTTTCGTAGGGCTGCGGACCCGTCAGTTACGACGGCCGACGTCCGTCGATGGCGGAATATCAAACGCGTACCATATCCTGAGAAATTGCAAGGCTCTGACGGTACGGCTCGGGACCAAAAGCGGCTGTGACGGAAGACGGCGGGCGGCCTTGTGCATGATTACCTCCGAGAGGCGCACTTGGCATGACAGGCTGACCACTGGCAGCTGAAAGAGCAACTGCGCCCGCGCGCGCGCTGCCCTTTACACACGGCCAACCAAAACCCGAACAAACAATGGAAGGAGCTATTGAAACCTCTATAAATCTCCCGCCAACCTTCTAACACTCTGCGAAATGCATGCAAATAATGTATCTTATGCCTAATCACTATCCCAAATCACTAACTCCGAACCTTCTAACCGTGCACTGCAATTCAACGGTGTTTCGGGCCGGAGGATGCCGGGATGATCCGAACCCATGTTCATGTCTGGCATAATCGGCAGTCCTGTGCCCAATCACAGATCATGCTAGAGTGCAGTGCAAAGGTATTGGCGAAGATCCCACAGAGGGACGGACAAGCATCACTGGTACAGCACGGCGGCCGATTACGGCCGGCCGTAAAACCGTCCCGTACGATTCGGCCTTAGACTTAAAACACCCGGCTGTGTAGGTTACATCGGATTTGTTGCTCCATCTGCCGTGACCTCAGTCAAGCGTTTGCAAGTCGAGGCTCGCACAACCTGTCAAGTTCAACGGCAGGGATGCCTACATAGATACTTACTTGTTCCTCATCTAGAGCTTGTCCAAAGGATGCCTACCATCTGCAAACTATGTAATCCGCAAGTAAAGAAGAAGCTCGGAAAAAAGTCGCACAACTTGTCTGGCATACGACTGCGGGCCTGCCACTGGGCGGGCACTTACATGACTGGATACGGATCAGTTTCCTCCGTGCTGCGGTCTATAGTTATGCGATATGGTCGCAGGCTGCGGTAGGGGTCCCGTCTGAATGCCATTGTGTCCAAGATGACAGGTCATGGTGACGTTACCAGTCGTTCAAGTACACTAACTTGAAGTACCCTTAGCGGACAGCGGCCATTAGCAGTAATTCTCCTGGCAATGTCGAGCTCGACCTCGGGTGAGTTAAGGTGTGATGTTGATTTATCTGTATGCATACCGTTCAATTCCGTTTCACTGTGATGGCCGTCCTCGTAACATTAACTGTGCCGTCGCGAGCTGAAAGTGACCACGGGACGAGTCGGTTGCTATCTCAAAAGCGCGGGAGTCTCAACATGGACGGGTAATGCTCAGATGGGTTTTGTCTTTAGACTACCTGTAGTATCTCATTCAATTTGTATGGTCACGCGTCACAAGGACCTTTGGAAGACCTCCAATATTTTTTTTCTCTGGATTTGCTGGATTTTTTTTTTTTTTTGCGAGAACTCCATATCGAGTCATTTGCAATCTAGTTGCTCCGGTGTAAGTTAGTGGCCAGCGCGGAGAGCTGACAATTGGCCTGATGGTCTAGTAGTATGATTCCTTGTTTAGGGTTTGATAACTTCTTCCAAATATTTATGTTCGCGTCACTGGCATCGACCAACGAGACGGTCGGCATCGTAATCGAAAAATCCTTCGGCATCCCCATGTATGTGTTCGACTTTTAATTTACATCCATTTCCACGTGCCGTCGCTGATTGATGGCCGACTGGACGCCGCTGACTCAGACCTGCCTTATTTGGGGGGGGGTCGTGGGAACAATTCCACGATCCAGAGATCGAACGCCTCTTGTGCCAGTGTCCAAGACGACCAGTCATCGTGACGTCGTTTACCAGTCGTTCAAGGCTTTACACTAAGTACCCTTAGCGGAGAGGTTGGACAGCGGCCATCATTTGTATGCAAACCGTTCAATTCCATCTCGAAACTCGTTCCGTAACATTAACTGTGCCGCCGCGAGCTGAAAGTGACCACGGGACGGCTCGGCTGCTGGTACCTGTCGCGTTCGACATCTCAACATGGACGGGTAATGATCAGATGTGTTTTGTCTTTAAGTATTTCGTTCAATTCGTATGGTCACGCGTCACAAGGACCTTTGGAATCTCCCCCTGACGTTTCATCGACCTGTGCGAATGATCAGTTACGCAAAAACGATGAGAATGCACAGGGGTTAGGGTTGGCAATCTAATGCTCGACCCTTCATTTTTTGTAGTGATTTTAGAGGCTGTGTTCCCTCAGGAGTTGGTGTTTCTAGGGCTCGGCATCGCAAATGATCATATTCCATGAAGCCACAAGAACGACGCTAATAATTTGTTTCTCGATTTGCTGGATTTTCGATGGATTTTTTTTTTTTGGCGAGAAGTCCATATCGAGTCATTTGCAATCTATTTGCTCCGATGTACCTTAGTGGCCAGCCCGAAGAGCTGACTATTGGCCTGATGGTCTAGTAGTATGATTCCTTGTTAGGGTAACGAATATTTGTAACTATCGAGGAGGTCCCGGGTTCAATTCCCGGTTAGGCCCTTTTTATTGCCGATTTGATCAAGGGGAAGTCAAAAAAGAGTGATGCCGAAGTTGGGGGCTGGCGTTCGAAATCTGATTTTTTTCCTGGCGAACGATCAAATTGTGGCTGTACGGTTGGAGATTTTGGATTTTTTTTCTCGAAAAGTATCCCAAATGACGTGAAAGTTACAGGAAAAATTTGAGAAAAATCCGTAGAAATATTCGATCTTCCGATCAAAAGTGCTATATCTCGACAACCCGGGGTCAGATCGAACTGAAACCTTCAAATATCGCTCATTAGGCTCGAAGTCGAGAGACTATCGAGCATGTATGTGAGATGGAGGAGAGCGCGGAAAGCCACGAGTGGCGTACCTATCGAGTGTGTGGGAGGAGAGCACGAGGAAATACAAACTTTGGGAGGTCTATACATATAAATGTCCGAGTACCTGGTGCACTTCTCAACCCTCGCTTATGGAGGTACGCCTTGACCTCCTCCATGTCGTCCACCGTGAGATAACTGTTCAGCTCAGGGAAGCGGGATGGAGCCGAACACAAAGGTATCGCCGAGGCTGCCGCAGCATCTGCAAGCAACTTGTGTACATTGAAACCAGCAGCATTGCAACGGGATCCGCCGGTGGGTTCATACGGGCGCGGTAAGAGTCCGTGAGGTCCACCATTTTACCTGAAACTTGAAACGAGCGACGCATCGAGTTAATGACAGCCCACATTGCACCCGGTGAGTCTGCATCCTGCAGGCGAGATAGAAATGTACTGCGCTCCTGTCGACACCTAACACGACCAGCGGCAGAAGGACCACGGGAGTTAGCATGTGCAGCCGACGAATCTGATGCTGGATGGCCCTCAGAAGGTCTTGTATGTGCAAGGTATCATGAATACTCCTCCCATGAATGGGAGAAGCTGCTCTTGAGGTTGGTTCAAGTCACCCTCCGGAGGCATGCCTCGCGTCGACGGCGGACAGCGGCGGACGTGCACTAGTCACGGGATGATGGTAGGCCGATCAAATCGCGCTGCCAAAGACCCTTTGACAGCTTGAGAAATCAATCAAATTCAACCATCACTCTAATTCCAGATTTGGACTTAAATCCGGCCAGTAGGACTTGGCGTAAGAACGTCTGGGTATCCGAGACTACGGTTTTCGTCCCTACCACTTCGATTAAGGCCTGGCTTATTAGCGCCGAATCAGCACCTTGTATACATTACAAGGGCGCGGTGTTCGGTCCAACACTTCGGTTAAGTCAGAAGCTGCGCCGATTCAGCGCCTTGTATACGCCACATGAGCGCGCACTTCGGTTCATTCAGAAGCTGTCCAGCGAAAATATCAGTGGGTTTAAGAATTCGAAGGTTCCCTGCACAGGCGGCTTGATAGGAAGATGTTTGAAAGGTAAGCAGGTGTGCTAACGTGAAGGCCAGGTCATCTTCGCTCGTGTTCAGGCACTGGTTTCATGATGCCATCGGAGGAAGAAAGGAGGAGGATTTTGCGGTCCATCGGAGTGGGGAGGGCACGGAAAACGGCTTGTTCACAGCCGGAGGAGGAAAGCTAGCAAGAGCGTTCCCGTGGGAGGAGAGCGCGGCATGGTCCAGGGAAGTTAGAAGGAATTGTGGTCCTTGATCTCGAGGTCAGGGACGGATAGTGACTCACTCTGACAGTATTGACGGAAAGAGAGCACTTCGCACACCGGCCGAGATAACTGGCAGGTCACGCGCGCAGCGGAACAGCAGACCCCGTTGAGACAGAAATAACGATATTCTAGATAGTGTCTCCTCGCAAATGAGAAACCAGAATCCATGTAATAGTGTTCGTATGCATCCGAAATATTGAATTGAACTGAACGACCGAATTCGCCCAGGGCGCAGGCCACTGCGCGATCTCGTCGCTACTCGGTCTAGCTGCGAATAACGATCTCGGTAGGGTGCCGAGTCGTTCCAGTTACCTATTACTCACCCGCTTGCCTGAAATATACTCAGCATCGGACTGACTGACACAGACGTTCTATTCGTCCTCGCGTTATCCCCACTGAAGCAATCAGGATCTAGCGCACGCCACTCATGCGCCACTTGCTCCCCATCGATTATCCGGAAAGTTCCTTGCTAGGACAGGTCCAATATCCAAAACGTATAAAAGCAGGGTCTGTTGTCCTTCAAAGCCCACAACCCAACTCGCCCACTGCTCATAACCCTCACCTTCCCCGACAACTTATCATGTGGAACATCATTCAAGTCAACGCTAGCACTCCCAGCCAGACCAGCATCCTCTTCGGCGGTCTACCGGGAAAGGAGACTGTAGGACCTACGAACGCTCTCGGTCCTGAGGGCGCTGTCTACGTCCTCGCCTTCCCCGGTCTTGGGTACATCAGGCTCACAGATGTTGGTTCCACGGGTGAGCGTTGTCAATACTTTTATGTGACTCGGAGCTTTTTAACTAAGAATGCGTGTCGCGATGTAGGAAACGGTCCCGGAAGCTGGAAGGTCGCTGTCAGCGGATCTTCTACAAACTGGACCTATGAAGGTGGTGGGCAGGCCAAGGTCTCGGTGAACGCTGATGGTACTTATACCATCTCGGGAGGATCCAACACAGTCACAGGCTCAGTGTAAGTGAATTCACTGGCACATCGACTGGAGTTCAAGTTGATCACATATTTCAAAACTGCAGGACAAAATTCTAGTCATTTGGTCTGATGGATGATGCGTCAGGCGAACTTGTATACTCGCAGTTCACGAAACAATTGAATCATCTCTGTACGGAAAGAATAGTGTGAATATCGAAATTTGGTTCAGGTCACGATGTGGGATTTTACGGAACATATGAATTTTCACGCAGCCTGAAAACCGCCCAAAGAAAAAAAAAAAAAAAAAATCGCTATGTCATGCGCCGGTGTGACTGTCGAAATATAGGTTTAAGGTTAAACCATGACACGCGTCACGACGGGGTTCGAAATTATTTACAAATATAACATTTTCCCCTGAACTTGATTTGGCTATGGGTTGATCTACTTTTGGCTAATGTTTCGACCTAGGTTAATATTTGCTCTAAATGGTGTGCCTACGCGCTTCCCGCGTGCTTCGCATCGTGCTCGCTGCCGCCGTCGACTTCGACGCCCGTAGGCTGAAAAACACCTTAAAAATCACGAATAAAAATAAGATGAGCATTTACCTTTATTTGGTGCTTATCTGGCATCAGCGCCACTTTGCATGCCCTGAGGGCGGACGGCCGGTGAGCGGCACATCACGTGGTGTTCAGAATCTCACAATTTTTTTCCCGTCGACGTTCGCGTGGCTCGCTTCCACTGACAACTTGAAGTTGCAACTGATTCGAATGCAACCTTACTATGATGAAAAATCCTTGGTGTCAGCGCAATTGAACTGAAAGCTACGTTTGAATGGAAAAAAAGAAAGAATAGAAATTTAATTACATAAATGGCTCTCATGGAAGCGCGGACGGCCAAGTCATGCTCGGCTCGCGATCGCCAGGGAGTACACGTTAACGGATGGCGAAGAAGAGAGACCAAGACACGAAACTCGGGGGGCCAACGTGACGACATCGTCGACATGTACAAGCTTGAGGATGGGAGCTGCATAATTTGGACCAGAACAAGATGCTATTCAATATGATATTCTTTCTCATTTTGTATATTATAGGCTGAGCCGCCCGTCAGATCAATGTACCGCTGTGCTCGCCCTACAACCCGTGTTCATGCTGGCGTCAATGGCGCTTGTGGTTTTCTGCGCGCGCGTGCGAATGGTCGTGGCATTGCGAGTCCCACGGTTTACACGGCTCAGAGTGGTCGTGGCACTGCGAATCCCCCGGTTTACACGGCTCAGAGTGGTGTGGACTCGGGCGATGCGCACGAGGCGTGCTACAACGAGCAGCTGCATGCCATCTTCCCATGGCGCTCACCGTTTGCTGCCAGCCTGCGTGGCACGACGACCATAGCCACGCGGTGGCAATGTGGCGACGGGGCCGCGATATGGGCCCAGGCGCCGTATCATAAACATTGGTCATAAGACATCCTCCAGGTCTGCGAAGTCAAGTGCAAACACTTGATGCGAGTCCGAATGGTGGGTATTGTGAAAATCTTTTTGGCCAGAGTACCACGTGGCCGCGGTCAGAGGAACTGGTCAAGAAAGCTGTCATACAGATTACAGAGAAAATGAAACAGCATTCAGATCCAGTGTGGAATCTGGCACAGCTCGTAGTATACTAGGGCATGTGGCATTCTAAGATGGGAGATGCAGCACAAGTAGGGATATCGCTGGAAGGAGATAATTGAATGGGCGCCTATTATAACACAACAACTGGCGACAATGATCAACATCCGCATGGTGCTCCTCTCTTCCGACGGAGTCGGTATCAGAAACAACAAACATTTTATGTGCCATATTACAAAGGCCGGTAAGTGCGTGTACACTGTCCAGCGCAGTTGTACATAGGCCAATTTTAACATGCCAGTGTGGAGGCCACGAAGCCACCGACTAGAAAAACGCAACGGCGGCCTGGCTCGCTAATGTCCCTGCAATCTATATTACTATATGCAGCTGCTCTGGTTCCCTCATACCAGCTCCGTTTTCCCCATGACATTCTCCTGGTTATTGCTGCTCCACACCTTTTCGTGGGGAGTCGCGTCGCAGATTCTACCAACATTGCCTTCACTTTCTGTGGCCCCAACCTTGACTGTGCCCACTTCATTGACAGAGACTGGGCCAATAGTCTCTATCGTGTCATCCGTTTTCCAACCCCCGTCAGCGGCAAGTTTGTTTCTGCGCCCAGTGTATCGCCCATATTCACGGCTCTATCGCAGTCGGTAGTCGTGCCACAGGACCCCTGACACGGCGGACAATCAAGTGTCGATTGTCCCATCAGTAGCATGTGTCGATTGTCCCGTCGATTCACCTGTCGATTGTCCAATCAGGCGCTTTGAGCTTGCGCTTTGGCCAATCAGGCGCTTTGAGCTTGCGCTTTGGAGGCGAATTAATTACAAGATAAAAATTAATACATGGGTTAA